ATTTGGAATTTTTAATTGTATTAATCTTTTATGTTTGGAAGAAACATTTACACGTTAAAAGCTTACTTCATTCTGAAAATTGAAATGGGGAAAAAATGAACTATTTAGTTTAGAGCCCTGGTGATTCTACTCAGTCACAAACACAAGCCTAACAGCCTGCAGACCATCCAGGTGGTTAAAGCATACATTAATGCAGCAGACCCGAAACAGGGGCTAAAGAGAAGCCACAACTGTTACAATAAAAAGGAAAAACAAATAATGATTTTTGCCTACAGCACATGATTTAACACAGGAAGCAGCAAAGACTGGAAAACCTTTCCTTTCCAATTTCCACTATACTGTAATAATGCAACTACATTAACATCTGACTTTGAAGCTTCTATTCCAAAGTTATTTGCTGGACAGTTTACCATAATAGAAATGATACAGTGATTACACTAGCATGAGAGCAGTGGAAATAAAGTTTAACCATACACCTTTAAAGGGTATAAGCTCTAACTATAGTATCTAAGGATAAGCAAACATTTGTAAAGTAACACATAATCTTGGAATAACACATGCAAGTTCATCATCATGACATACTGGTAGGGACAAGCAAACCCCCTAGAAAGCGTAAGGTTATCAGCAGTTACTTAAAGACTGAAAGCAGTCTCTGCTTTGACTACAATCAGATTTTTTGTGGCTTTTTGGTATTTGTCAAAGTTATCAAAGTTCAGTTGTACTCTTTTTAGAATGGATAAAAAACAAGAAGCTCTGTAGATATTAACCGCCTTTCCTAAATATACAGGACAGTAGTGTGTAATACATTTAGTACCACAGGCTGTATGTCAGTTTACTACCTTGCTGGCAATAAACTCCTCCAGAAGACCATAATTAGTAACTCCCAGCCAGGCAAAGCCACAGATCCATACTACAAAAAGGCATTAAGTGAGTTAACCAAAACACTCAAATTTCAGTACTGCCATGGCAGCACAGCATGCATTCACAAGGTACCACTCTTAAACTTCCCACATTTTTAATGAAAGTCCATAACAGTATCAGAATAGTCTGCTTTCCTTCCATCAAGAGCCTATATATTGGAATCTTTGAGTGCATGAATAACAGTTATAAACTGCATGAAAAAGATATGAGAGTGGCAGAAGAAGGTCCAACAAGTTCTATTAAACAAAAGGATGTAGGTATGAAAATGCTCAGCCTGTCACTAGGGGAAGTGTACAGGAGGGAAAGGGCTGCTCTCTTCTTTAGCATGTCTCAAGGAGAGCAACAAAAACACTTTAGGAAGGTACTAGACTAGATTGAGCATCCCTGACATAACTCAACTTTTAAATAAACTGAATAAATAAAAGCAAACAAACAAAACGCACAGACAAAACTATTACCAGATACCCTTCTTGGTAAACATCCATACCTGTGGAAGCGCCGTATTGAGCTGTCTCTGCAGGGAATCTCTCTCATGACCAACTTCATGCAGCTTGCCCTGGGTCAATGCTAGTGTCTCCTGAGTTTCTCTGAGTGTTTCCAGAAGGCGATCCCTTTCTTCTAACATGGACACCATTAACTGCTCAAAATGGGAATCGGCATCTGACTGCATCGGGGAGCCTGAACCATGGCCTCCGTTTCCCCCGGAGGGAATCTCTGCCTCACTGATGGTTGGCATCACCTCACACATCATCTTGAAATAAAGCAAGACAAATAAAGACCATGAATTTCAGTCAAACAAATCAAACATGATAAGAAAGGAACTCTGGATACTACCCACAGTACCAAGCTATCTTTTCCCATGATAACATCAGCAAAGGTTGCCAAGACCTTAGTGTTTGCCACTACTTCGTTAAGACCACAGGAGAAGAGAAATACAACCATTTTAATCAAAGCATCACTTTATAATGAGAATCTCATGACTTCCTGTAAAATCAGATTTTTACTGCTACATTTCAAACCACGATCTCATTTCAATGGATTTATAATTTTGTTAAGAGCAAACTGCTGCTGAGTTCTTTAGAAAACAAAGATAAAGCATGCAGCAAGCCACAAAAATCTATATACTTAAACTTGTTACAGTTTACACTGTATATTTTGAGAATCATTATCTGCCTCTTCCCACTCCTGACACACACAAAGATGATATCTAAACGACTTTAAGCTTATGCAAGGAGCAGAATCTCTATGTTAAATTTGATGCATGTAAATTAACAGTAAATCAAGATTCTCCAACTCAAGATATAAACATGTAAAAAGATCAAGGCTCTCAACAGTAATGAAATAAGAAGAGAAAGCAAAATTTAAGGACTAAATTGTACCAGCTGCCACTGTTGACAACAGCAAGTGAAAATAATTTAAGTCACAGTATGAACATAGTTAACAGTACAAGTTTAAGTACATTAATACTGTTAACCAGGATGGAATTTTTAAAAAAAAAAATCTTAGCACATCACCTGAGGCTGCCTCAGAGGCTGAGACAGTAACTTTTTTAAAAGGCTGAAGGCAGGGGGAAAATAAAAAAACATAAATACAATTACTGCACATTCTCACTGAACCATCAAAACTTTTGAAGGCCTCTGGACAGTCTTTCTCAGCAGCTCAAATCTACAAGAACGTAAAACAGACACACACACACACACACAAAAAAAAAAAAGGTTCTCTCGCATCTTCTCAAGAACCACAAATTTTGTTCCCAGCCTTAATATTCATGTTGACGTCTAAATGTTTTAAAGGACAAGTAAACTTATTCAGAGCATTATAACAGGACTACACCTCTGAATCGCTCAAAAGACTTCAGAAAGCGCTGTAAGGTTTTCATGCACCATTACTACAAAGTCTCTGGTTTCAACACCGCTATTTACCTTGCTCAGTGAAATAAAAAGGCTTGGAAAACAGGCCTCAAGCTTCCTGTAGTACCACTGCTTCTGTTTTCAGTTCTTTTGTTATCCCCAGAACCCCTTCAGATTGAAAAGTATCTGTTCATATCCATAGTCCAACGTCTGTACAATTGAAATCTCCCATACGCACGAGGAGATCTGCCAAGCAGAGCGCAGATCCAGCAAAAAGCAGCAGCAGCTTCAGCGAAACCAGGCAAGGCCCCAGGACAGAAGAGCGTGAAAACAAACGGTTTCAGCTTCCCATTTCTCTGCTCCTGGCCCACGGTTCCTCCAGCAGCTAGGACGGGGATCATGTGCGGAGGAAGAAAAACGCGTATAAATCTGTATCCTGTGCGGCGGGCACGAAGCCTCAGCGGTTCCTGGCGCCGCGACGCGGGTCACAGCCC